TAGTGTATAAGTACGAGAGAGATTTCTTTCAGTTGAGTCGTTATACTCCAGAGTAAGTTATGATTGACTCCTTCAGGTGCAAGAGGTTCCTTGAGGGACTTAATATTGATATCCATGTGCAGTTAGCGGTGGACCCTTCTAAGGAATTTTCAAAATTGACACAACAAGCTAAGGTTGTATAAAGGGTGCAGAGCATAAGAAAGAGATTGTTAGGGGAATTACGAAGTCCAAGTATAAGGGCTTGTGTACCAGTAGACCTATCGCAGCCAGTGGCAGAGAGGGCCAAAGGTCTACGTGAGTAGAGAAGAGTGACTTTAGCTTTTTCACTCAAGTCAAGTTAGAATTCAGACGTAGAGTCTCGTAGGAGACCGCCAGCTTCACCGTCTGTGGTGAGCTTTAGAGGTTCTAAAAGAGTTTTGAGGTATCTAGAGTGTGAACATTATGGAAAAAATCATCGAGGAATGTTTTTTAAACTTTCTAGCAAGTGCTATAGATGTGGATCCTTGGCGGATATGGTAAGGGATTACCCTAGTTTCGATGACGATGAGTGGATCAACCAATTATCGATTTGACTATGCGTAATCTTGTTTTTTATATTTCAATGAGGTAGGGACAAGATGTTGATGTTGCAGATGAGATGCCATGTATGTTTTTAGCTATCTCAGTTTTTCATATTGCTCCAGTAGGCATAAGTGCATGCATTCTTTTGTAGTGTCAAGCGAACTAGGTAGGAAAAGTATTCATTTAGAGGATCCAAGCATGAGTATCCACGTGCCTAGTTGGTGGGCCTTGGAAGAATAGGCATGGTTTACCTTAGAAATTCTTTGAGAGCTTGGGTCAAACACGGTAGTCGACCTAAAGAAAGTTGTTAGCACAAGTGTTACTTTACCTCAAGATTTTAGGTCCAGAGATAGGAGAATAGGTGGTTGCTCCTTGTTGAGTTGAATGTCAACTCTAAGAAAACATTGAGCCGTGGAATCCTCTACCCTTGTGTGTTCCCTAAGGGAACATACGTGTGGGTTGTCAAGTTAGATGTGAGACTTTAAGAATGTTTTTTCATTTCTAGTAGAGTGTTTTAGGAATCTCAAGTTTAACATTAGGGGATAAAGATCTCCACGAGAATGTTAATAATACCCAATTCATCCTAGCAAGTATGTCGATCACCTTCTTTCCAAAAACACTAGGATATATTTCAACTAGTGCCAAGGCCTTCAGTTTCTAACTAAGAGAAAATGCCCCAAGTACTCATGAGGAGTAAGTTAGTAGGGTGTGTGTTCTGAGGCAACAGTTTCAAAATATCACCCTAGGTACTAAGGTTACTATAGGTATGATAGTGAGTTATGAGTCTTGAGGTGCAGTTAACGCTCCAATGTCACCATGATGCCTTCTTATTTGAGTAGTAAGTTAATTAGCTAAGTAAGACAAGCCTCGTCTGTGATGCCTTTGTGTTGGTATATGAGCGTGATCTATATACAACACATAGTAGTATGTAGTGTCGTATAGTATCACATATTTTAGAGCTTTAGACTAAAGGAGATCAAGTACGTTAAGCGTTATTGAATAGTATTAATCGTCATCGAATAGTTCCATGGTGGTAAGTAATTGTGAGTGCAAGACGTAGAGTCTCAGGATCCTTAAGTCAGAGTGCAATTGCGAGAGATCTCCCCTCTGTGAGGTGTGCTCCCCAGGAAAGCCAGAGGTTCTTATTTTCACTAGGCAAGTGGCCAACTTTCAGTTGTGAGAAACTTAGATGCACGATCTGATGAGTTGAGTGTATGTAAATCGCAAGGCAAATGAGAAATAGTCAAGTAACATGGATGAGTATTAAATCAAAGTTGTGCAGTAGAAGAATAGTGATCGACATTAGGAAGTTGAGAATTGACATCATATTTTCAGTAGTCAACATTGAAACCGTGAATAGCAAGTGTTTATAATATCCCAACATGTAGCATGACAAGTTACATAAGTTTAGCAAGTAAAAAGGATTTATAAGATTGTGTAGCATGCTAACTTAATCAAGTAGAGTTAGCCACTGAAGGGTATAACGGATGTAGATGAGTCTTTGATAAGTGTTTATCCTTATGAAATGTTCTAAGCATTCAGTTTTAGATGACAAGAATGAGATTCTTTGGCTTTAGGCCTTTCGAAGATTGTTGCTTAATGTTCAACGTAGGTAGTACCCTTTAGAAAATCGTAGATCAATTTTGCAAATTCCAAGTTACACATCATGTTGTGGGGACTTCTTATCTAAGGATAAAACTTGATAAGAGTTTATGTGCTTCAAGGTTTCTTAGTATATGACCTAAGGATAGGTCATTATTAGATCTAATTAAATTTTAAGCAAGAAATTTCTTTCAATGATGGGAGAGTTATAAACCCTAAAATCTAGGCTAGTAGTTTCAGGTTTACCCGAGATGTATGTTTGCCTTAAGGATTTCGTAATTAAAGTTGTTGGACCAAGTTGGGATTAATTGGGTTAGGAATTAGGCCTAGTTATCTTTGAAAAGTGGATTTTTGAATATAAGGTAAAATATGAGGGACTAAAAGTGTAATTATCCCAATAAAGAAAACAAGGTTGATTCTTTAGGGGTTTTATATCAAGTTAGGCGTGGGGTTTGCTCCATTTTCCTCTTTATCTTCTTTTTTATTTCTTCATTCTTCCATCTTATCTTCCAAGCTCCATAGATCAAAGTGGAAGGTAAGAACTTCTTTCCTCACTTCATAAGACTTGAAATTTGTCCTCAATTCTTCCTATAATGATAAGGAATTCTTGGGTTTCTTGTTTGCTTAGAGAAAGTGGGGGTTTTATCCAAGTTTAGAAGGAGAGTGACGGCTAGCTAAAGGAGATTTATTTCGATATTTTTTTACCAAGCTAGTGTATTTCTAATCCTTTGGAGTGTTAAGGATTTCATAAGCATGATGATTTTTTTAGATTTTGGTATTTTAGAATTTTGGGGTTTTATACTTGATTCATGACATAAATGACGACTTTGATGTAAAGCATGTGTTTTTATGATAGTTTATAACCCTAATTAACTTCCTAAAGCTTCATCACATGATTAGGAACCAAACTAAGCCCTTTGTAGTGATTTTTTTGTGTTTCTCAAGCTTAAATAAGATATTTCTAGGTTCGAGTATTGATATTGGATGAATAGTACTCATACTGGATGATTTGGGACAAAAAATTGGGATTTTCAAGCAGGAAGTATCGATATTGTTGGGTAGAGTATCGATATTGCCCTTATAGTATTGATATTGGGCCACATTTTTAGTAACAAAAGCTATTTTTGGTATCGATACTCATATGTGTATCGATACTTAACCCTATGGTATCGATATTGCAAGTAGAGTATCGATACTACCCATATTGAATGGTTAGATTTGACCTCGTTAAGACCCATAAGAGCTAAGGATGATCCGTAATGATAGAACTTAGTCCATAAGGGAAGTAAATGGCCAAAAGGGTATTAAGGAGAAGTACGATAAGGTGACAAGAGAGTTGTTACCGAATAACGAACATGAGTCAGGTATCGGGCTATCTAGTGTTATAAATAATGAACAATAAGCATAGTAATTATCATAAAATCACGAAACGCGTAGAGACTTCTCTAGCGATAGAAAATGACTAAAATGTTGTTAAGTAACGAATGAACATAATATAGTCTCTTAATAAATTAATACAAGTAACATACTAATAAAGCTTTGCATAACATTCTAGATGAGAGAACGAGTGAGATAACAGCTTGTGAGGGGTTGACCTCACTTTAGCTTGTCGAGCTACACTAGTATGTAATTAGGCTACCTCAGTTGCCCTATTATGACATTGTCAGTGTTGTACGACCTTAGGGTCCTCAGTTATGCATATATAGTTGCATCAATCTAGTACAACATATATCCTTAGAGCTTGACTTAACGGCTACATAAGACCGAGCCAATGGTTCAGTAGAGTGGGAATTGTACCAATGTTATGCGATAATGGGTTCATGTTCCATGATCTACCTTACGGCTATGTGAGACTAAGAGATCATTCAGCATATTAATGGGAATATCACCGATACTATATCACACCGGATTTCCTTAGTTAACTAGGGTCTGATGGCTATGTCAGACCAGATTCTAGCAGTGTTGCATTCAGATAATGCCCAACAAAGTCAATGTTGCATTAAGATAATTTCAAAAACTTATTTATTCTATTAATTTTATTTTAATAAAAAATAAATTATATTTAAATTTTTTTATTAATTCAATCCTCATTTTAATTTAAAAACAATTTAATAATTCAATAAATTTATAAATATCATTTCTGGCATTTACATTCATCAAACAAATATATAGTTCTCTTGGAATTTATCCAAACTCCAACAGAGTTGCTTTTAAGTGGATTCAGCGCATACATGTCCAGAATCACACGAGGGAATCTTCAAGCTGAAGCCTCTATTGTGTCTAATATTTTCAGTACTTATGAATCTCACTATTTCTTTTCTTTAATTTTCATATCTAAAAAGATGTTAACTTTTTTGAATTATTAAATTATAATGAGAATCCAATTAATAGAATATGAAATTTTAAAAGTTAAAATTATTATTATATTGAATAGTATTAGTATTTTTATTAATTTTTTAACGACGAATGATTAAAATAAAAATAAAATATTAATAATGATTTTATAAAAAAAATATAATAACTGAATGGTTAATAGTGTAATTTATCCTGATAAAGTATTTAGTTTAAACAATTTGTGTTTTATAGAACACAGCAGAGATAGAGGTTCCGTGGTAGAGAGAGTAGAGAGGCCGGAAAATGCTGAAAAAAGAAAGAAGAGAGTGACTTATGTAAATCAGTGCAGTTCGGATGTGACGCGTGTCCGTTAGCCAGCTGTATCCCAAACCAACCGTTTAACTGGAACAATCGGTTCCCATAACGCCTCCGTTCCCTTCACTCTTCACCGTTTCAACCGGTTATTTCCCTCTGCTCTCTTATATATGTAGTTTAAACTGGCACCCGTAAGAAGAGAGGAGAGAAAAATTGGACATCCAAATTTGATTTCATGGATGGTGCAACTACAAGCACATCAAACAGAAAAGAAATGGACCGGATCAAAGGTCCATGGAGCCCCGAAGAAGATGAGTTGCTCAAGAAGCTGGTACAGAAACACGGCCCCAGAAACTGGTCTTTGATCAGCAAATCAATCCCTGGCCGATCCGGCAAATCCTGTCGGCTCCGATGGTGCAACCAACTGTGTCCCCAAGTTGAGCACCGGGCCTTCACTCCAGAAGAAGACGAGACTATCATCCGAGCTCATGCCAGGTTCGGCAACAAGTGGGCCACCATAGCCCGACTCCTCAACGGCCGTACCGACAACGCCATTAAAAACCACTGGAACTCCACGCTTAAACGTAAGTGCTTATATGATGGTAATCTGGGAGGGGAACACCAACAGCCCTTGAAAAGATCGGTGAGTGTGTGCAGTCCATCGGGATCCGATTTTAGCGATTCCAGTGTTCCCGTTTTGTCATCCTCGCACCTGTACAAGCCCGTCCCAAGGACAGGTGGAGTTAATGTTGATGTCCATGTTACGCCGGCTGGGGAGGAGGCGGCGGCGTCACCTTCTAACGACCCCCCGACTTCACTGAGTCTGTCTTTGCCGGGTGCAGAGACATGCGATGTGTCAACTCATATGAGGAGTGAAGAAAGGGGAGGTGGGGTGATGGGGTTCAGTGCGGAGTTTATGGCGGTGATGCAAGAGATGATAAGGGCTGAGGTCAGGAATTACATGGTGCAGCAGCAAAACGGCGCAGTTTCGGGAGGAGCGGGAATGGGGACGTGTTTGGGTACGAATCTTGTGAGTATGAACCGAGTTGGGGTGAGTAAGATCGAGTGAGTTATAATGAGAGGAAAAAAATTTGGGCTGTGTTTTCTTCTTCTTCATCATCTTGTTATGGTGAATTATTTTGGTCATTTTAGGGGGTTAAAGAAAAATGAGAGAAGGGGAGTTTTCAATTAAAAACTAGCTGTCTCTTGGCCTTGTTAATGTTTCAAGTAGATTTTACTCCAGGGAAAAAGGTTCCTTTCATCAATTTTTCAATCATATTTCTTCTTGTATTTTAAAGATCTGAAAACAAGACTGTAAAATATCCATCATGATGTTTTCTTTGGGAAAAAACGTTTTGTAAAAATGGTGATTATATATATAATCATAATTTTTTCGCACTATATTATTATTATTATTATTATTATTATTATAAACTCAAAACTAAAACCGACCCAAATACAACCAAGTCCAATTACAAGCTTTAAACTAAACTTAGCCAAATTAAACTCTAAACCTTCACTAGCTTTTCATCATCGTTGTCATTGTCAACCATCGTTGTTACCATCAATAAGCCTCTGAAAGCTACCTATCACTTCCCCTGTTCCAAAAAACCAACCACAAAATCAAATCAAAACATAAAAATCAAATAAAAAATAAAATCAAATTTAATAAAAAAAATTCAATTTAACCCCTTTAAAAATCTAGAGCCTTGTATCACCAAACATCACCAAACCCATCAATCAGAAGCAGGTAAGAGAAGATAAAAAGAGGAATATAACCAATCAGGCAAGATACGAAAAGAAAAAGAATCGAAAAAAAAGGAAAAGAAAAGAAAAAGAGAGGGAATGAAGTTTACCTCTCGGCCAGTGATATTCACCAGTGTTCGAGACCTCTTTTGGCTAATCCGGGGAAGCGTCACTCGAGCAGAAGACCAACATACTTCGAAATCAGACTGATCCAACGATCGGATAAGGAGATCGGCAAGTGAGGATATTGAATAGTTTTTGGTCGATTTGTGAGAATCGAAGCATTTTTCGGCAAACCAACACCGGATTTGCAATCCTGACGTTAAGGCGAGTTGCCGGTGTAATTTTGGGCCCAAACGACCACTAGAGACGACAGCGATCAGTGATGGCTGAGACGGTCGGCAGGTGACTACGATTTAGAGAGAAGAGAAAGCTTCTCTCTAAAAAAGGAAAAAAAATGAGAGAATAATGAAAAAAGAAGGGATAAAAAAGGTATGAGAAAATAACCTCAGTGACCAAAAGTGTCTTATAATATACGATTTTAACCAACTTTTTTTGGATTTGCCAAAATGACCAACTAAATCGCAATGCGATCGATAATTCGCAACGCGATCTCCGGTATCGCAAATCAGTTTCTAGATTCGCAACGCGATTCTGACTATCGCATTGCGATTTTCCAAATTCGCAATGCGAATACGTAAATCGCAACGCGAATTTGGAAAATCGCAATGCAATTACGTAAATCACAATGTGAATACGTAAATCGCAATGCGAATACGTAAATCGCAATGCGAATACGTAAATCGCAATGCGAATATGTAAATCGTAATGCGAATCTGACTATCGCAATGCGAATCTGACTATCGCAACAAGATTCTGACTATCGCAACGAGATTCTGACTATCGCAACGAGATTCTGACTATCGCAATACTGAATTTCAAATTCGCAACTCGATTTCTGAATTCGCAACAGGTTTTAGTTTCGCAACACAAATGTTTTGGGTATATAACTACGCAGCAGCATCAACTCATAACCTAAATCCCTAAATCGCAACTCATTCCATCTCCATCTATCACTCTCTCCGGCGACATCCGTTCCTATATCCAACAACATCCTTCCCCATCTGGCAACAGGTTTTAGTTTCGCAGCTCGTTTGTTTTGTAAATTATTTTACAATAATGAAATCATCTAATGTTGATCATGTTTGGATAGATTTGTGTTTTGGAGGGTCATGGGAGAATGTTCATGGTGTTTTACAATATATGCCTTTACCCATGAATCTTCAACTAAAACTGTCATTAAAAAAGTTAACTTATGAAACTCTAATGTTATGTGTTGCAAATAAATTGAATTTAGAGCCCCTACGTGGATTTAGGCTATCTTATAAGAGAAATTGTAAAGTTTATTTGTTAACCGATAATGAAGATGTTGAACGATTCATTGCTTACATTAGTGTTTCAAGTGATGATGTTACATTGTATGTTGTTGAACCTAGAAGTAGTGAAGTTGGGTCAGTAGCGGGTAGTAATCAACTAAGTTTTTCAACCCCAGTTTATGGTGCTCAAAATTTAATGGTTCCACCACAATTTCATCACCAAGCAAATATTGTTTCACCACATTTTCAATACCAAACACAATCTCAAAACCCACAACATTTCCCTAATCCAAATCCCAATCAACTTTCAGCACCAAATTCTGGTTTTCGTATTGAACAGTTAGACGATGATCAGCCAACAGAAAAAATTGTGAGTACTAGTCAGTATTCGAAATTTGATCTTGGTCAATACCCGGACTTTGATCTTGGTCAATACTCGGATTTTGATGATTTTTCAGAAGAAGAAACAGACCCTGCGTGTAATGATTTTGATATTGGTCAATACCCAAATTTTGATGATGAAACAGCCGTTGTCGAGGAAGATGTTGTTGATGATAATGAGGAGGAAGTTACGACTGTAAATTAACATATTGAACATCCATTCTGGAATTCATATAACCCTGAAGAAGAAGAAGAAGAAGAAAAAGAAATCCCCAAAGAAAAGTCCCCGAAGAAAATGCCACGGGAGTATAACTGGAACATGCCAGAATTACTTCAGATACCGGAAGAAGAGTTGGTAAAGATAGCAGTTGATTGTTACACAAAAATTATTCGTATCAAGAAAGATGATTGTTTTGATACAAAGGAAGACTTGAAGATAGCTTTGTATACGAAATGTGTGGAAGATGGCTATCAACTAAAAGTTAACAAATCAAGCAAAGATCGTTTCGAAACAAGGTGTATGATTGACAAAAAATGTACGTGGCGTATGATTGCAAAGAGGATAAAAGATTATGAAATGTTTCAAGTTAGGACTTTTATTGATAAACATACATGTTCGAGAACCCATGTTTTTCCTCACCATAGACAGGCAAACAAAAAGGTGTTGGGTGGTTTTCTGGCTGAGTTAATGTTTTTGAATGGCAGGGTATATCGGAGACATGAAATTATGACTGACATGAATGCTCGGTTCAAGATTAGTATCTCATATTCTCAAGCTTGGAGAGCCAAATGTTATGCCTTGGAATTGTTGAGGGGGTCGCCAGAAGCATCGTTTGCCTAACTGCCGGCTTATTGTCACAATTTAAAGCTGAAAAATCCTGGGTCGGTAACTCATATCAAAACAGATAGAGATGGCCGCTTTGAGTTGTTGTTTATCGCCATTGGTGCTGCGGTTAGTAAATCAATATAATTTTGTTGACTCATTTTTGTTAGTTACATGCATTTCACATTTAAATGATTATATTTCTTGTGTATATGATTTTGTAGATTCGTTCATTTATTACTTGCATGCGCCCAGTTATTATAGTTGACGGAGCACATTTAAAAGGTCGATACCTTGGAGTAAACTTATTAGCAGTAGCCATGGATGCTAACAATGGGATACTGCCAATAGCTTACGGGGTTGGCAAATCTGAAACCTCTGATTCATGGACATGGTTTATGGGGCATCTTAGGGATTGCATAGGTCCTATTAGTAATCTGACAATCATATCCGATAGGGCAAACTCAATTGACAACGCTGTTAGAAGGTGTTTCCAGATGCTTTTCATGGACTTTGTGGTGTTCATTTGTATAGAAATTTAAAATCAAGGTCTGCTGGTATAAAAACTCACAAATGGACATACTGGAAGGCTGTAAAAGCTTATCGGGAAGTGGATTTTAATAAGCATATAAACTATTTAAGACGTGTTTTGCCTCAGTGTGCTCAAACACTAAAAGATGTCGGGTTTGAAAGATGGTCAAGAGTACATCAACTTGGAGCAAGATATGGTTTCGTGATGTCTAATAGTGCAGAATCAATCAACGCTCTAAGTCGTCATTCCCGGAAATTACCCATTACTATGTTAATGGAGTTTTTTCGAGCCTCTATTCAACAGTGGTACTACAAGAAAAGAAACCATGCAGGTATTATTTCTTTAAATTCGTAACTTATCGTATATTTTACTAAGAATTATTTATTTAAATTTATAGGAACATTGGAACATCGTGTTACACCATGGACTGAAAAAAAGATAACGAAACGTGTTATGAAGTCAACTTCATGGAGAGTTGAACCATGTTCAAACACTTTGTTTGAAGTACTGGATAATAACTTAAATGGGCTTGTCGATCTAAATGCAAAGACGTGTAGTTATATGAAATGGCAAACATCTGGTTATCTGTGTGGCCATGTTATAAAAGTTTCTCTTCATCTAAACCAAGATGATTCAAGCGCATACGCTATGGATTGCTACACTACAGAAGTATATCGACAGACTTATATCGAGATTGTCTACCCTATTCCACATCCTTCTGAGTGGGACATACCAGATGACTTACAAACAGTTTTGCCACCAGCCATGGACAGAAGGCTACCTGGCCGACCAAAAAGTCACGATCGTATACCGTCTAAGGGTGAAGAGAAGAAGAGATCGACATGTAGTCAGTGTAAGGAAAGTGGTCATACAAGGTTGACATGTGGATCACCAGTGCCATCACAATCATCTTTTCCTCTACCAAAATATAGATCCTCATCAAAATCCCAATCACAAACGGCTTCACCTTTTGGGACTGTTAACTTAGGTGATTTTTAAATGCAAACGTTGTATTATGTGTATATTATGTGTGAACTTTTAACATTTTCAGTTAGGAATGTATTAGTAACTTGAGTTTGAACATTGCTATGATATGTTCAGTTGTTATCACTTATTAGACATTCATTTGACTATCGCAACGCGAATATGACTATCACAACACGGAAATGACTATCGCAACGCGGAATTGACTATCGCAACGCGGAAATGACTATCGCAATGAGAGAATCGCAATGCGAAATGAAAATCGCAAGGAGTGAATCGCAATGCGAAAATGAAAATCGCAATGCGAAAATGAAAATCGCAACGCGAATTTAGTTTCGCGTTGCGATTTTCATTTTCGCATTGCGATTCTTTCGTTGCGATTTTCATTTCGCATTGCGATTCTCTCGTTGCGATAGTCATTTCCGCGTTGCGATAGTCTGTTTTGCATTCAACATAATGCAGATTGAAATCAACAAATCAACTAT